TGTGGGCAGGAACATGCTCCTTCCAAAGGCTGTGGGCTAAGTGAGTTTCTCACCATCACATGGTTGGTTAATAATATTAGGACCATATTCAGATCACTTAATAAAACAGTGGTAGTGATGATTCAAGTATTTACATTCATGCAAATCTGACTCCAAGCCTTGACCCAACTCAGGGGTTGTTCTACGTCCATCATCGACGGAAATGGGAAAAGCAGTTTTATGAAGGCTGTGTAAAACTATCGCATTGCCATGCTCAGGTTGTGTTTCCTATCGAGTCAGGGTGACAAAGCCGGGTGTTGCTTGGAATATTGATCGGGTGAGGCGACACACACACATCTGAGGGAGTGGACCAGTCTGTGCCCCGGAGAAACCCTTTTGGAGTACGGTTGCCTTGGGGTCATCTGTCACACACTGTGCCACTTCCCCAGTCATCTCCAGGGGAAGGCTTGCATAAGAGCAAAGAGACAACCGAACTAGACCAACTGACCGTGCAGCCTGTATGAGAGTTTGGTGCCCTTCAAGTCCAATCCTCATGAGATAACGCGCAAACTACACAGCAGGAAGCTAGGATCCAGCCACACCTGTCCCACAGGGGCATGAGGGGTCTATTAAAATCACATCAAAGAGCTACCATACCAGAATGAAACAGAGCTTTTGAAAAAACAAGATCATTTGCTTGCCAAGCAAAGGAACTCACACCAGCAAAGACGTTCCCGGAGTAATTTGCTGGAAGAGAGCATTTTGGGGAGCAGGCGAAAACAGGGGGTTGGGAGTTTTGATGTGATATGAAGAAGGGTCCACACTTTCATGGTAGATGTGCCAAGTAAGAGTTGAAAAATGCCACTCTTGAGAGGACAAGATAAGAGCATTTGTATCTACACAACGGGTTAAAATAAGCCCCCATCGTTCAGCAGCCAGGAAAGTCTTCACTTGGGTCCAGCAGAAGTCTTAGAGGTCACAGATCTTTAACAGCTCTGGCTCATTCTAATAGTGGAGGACATACACAGCACTGAGTTTTGAAATACCCTGGATTACTGCTCCTAGGTGGGAAGTTTCTCCTTAACAGAAATCTAGACAAAAAACTGTACTTGAAAAATAAATAAATAAAATTTAAAAAAAAAAGAAATCTAAATGTCCAGTAATAGAATATGGCATAAATATATAATGCTACAATCACATAATGGAAATCTACGTGGTCATTGTAAAAAATAAAAGATAAGATAGGTTTACATTTAAAAAAAATCTAAAGCACTATTTAAAGAATTTTCAAAATTGAAAATCTCTTAAAAGTCTGGGCTTTCGGATCAAAAAAATAAAAGGCATTTCCTCTGTTGCAAACCGGACCACCTCGAGTCAGTCCCCTGTGGTGAGGAACTCCCTGAAATCACATCTTCCCACGGAGCACAGCCGACAGGGAGAGTCATTCCTGCAACACCCGAGAGGCCTGGAGACCTGTGGCCATCTCAGCAGAATCCCAGCAGCCAAACACTTCCCTGGGCTGGTGCGCCACACATACCTGGTTTAGATCCACTTACCACGTACAAGGGGAAGAGAGACCTCCCTCACCTTAGGAAATCATTCCCTCGACTGCCTACCTTTCTAGAAGTTTCTAATTCTACCTATCCATCTTTGTCCATAAACATCGTCCTTCCACCGCCTTGGCTCCCACGAACGCTTCCATATCCCCTTCAGCATGACACTGCTGATCAGCAGTTTGGTGTAACTGCACTCTGGGTGGTCGTCACTGGCCTCATTCCTGAAATAGCCTGTCCATCTTTATCCCACTCAGTTGAATTTTGGACTTTTTAGTAACTTAGAGAACTCTTCCTCCTACTCAAAAGCAACTTGTTGTATACCCAACCAGAAATCAGCTTTGTGAAGGTGTTCTCTAGGGGAATCTCACTCTGCTTCCACTTAGGGGATAAGAATGTTTGTGGGCCAGGGAGGTGCTTCATTTGACTTGTCTGTGCTGGATAAAATTAAGAAGGGTTCTTTCCTAGGAACTTTATGAAAACAAAATAATTGATTGAAAATAAATTTATATCACCTCACTAAGGGGGAATAGTAACTGACTTGAAGTAAGCAAGATCATTAATTTTTTTAAATGCACATAAAAAGCAAAAAAGATCACAGTGGATGACACAGAAAGTAAAATCAGTAATACAAATATACTCTTTAGAGACACTCTCCCATGATGAAATGGAAAAATACAGAAGATAAATTTGGAGACTAAGATGACAGCGACAGACACTGGAAAACAGAAATCTATGGATGACACACCTTCCCAAAGGAACCAGAAGAAAAACTTAACAATTTAGAGGAGAACTTGAAAATGTTCAATAACATCTGGCATTAACTGTAGACCCACTGTGCGTGGTAGGCACAAAAACAGCCCCGTACGTTTGTTCACAGTCTAATGCCTAGAACCTGACCCAGCAAAAGGGACTTCGCAGGTCTGATTATGGATCTTGAGATAAAGAGATTATCTTAGATCATCTGGGGAAAGTCAAGGTAATAGCAAGGGTCTTATAAATGAACGAGGACAGCAGGAGAGCAGAGGGTTGAACACCTGCTACCCCGCATTGACAGACATGGGAAAGTGCCAGAGAATTTCCACAGTAACAACAGCACAAGAAAAAACTTGTTAAAAATGAAAGAAAGAAAGAAAGAAAGAAAGAAAGAAAGAAAGAGCAAAAAGAACGAGTCTATACCAAATGGAAGGAATAAAATCAAGTATATATATTATGTGAGTTTACAGAATTCTTACAGCAGAAGAAACAATCATGAGAGGCATTTTAAAAATGTTATTAAAAACTCTTTAAGCAAGTTTTTTAATGAAGTTTTTAAGTTGAAATAGACATGACTTTACATAAATGGCCAAATGAGTTTTGGCAAAGGTGGCAAGAGCATCCAATGGGGGAAGACAGTCTTCACAGCATGGATTTCTGGGGAAACTGGACACCCACATACTAGAGAATGAAACTGGGCTCTGAGCTCACACCTCACACAAAAACCAACTCAATGTAAATAAAGCACATACACGCAAAGCCTGATGCACACTAAAGCTCCTAGAAGAAACTGCAGGACAAATTTCGACATTAGATTTGGCAATGATTTTCGGATATGACACCAAAGCCAGGTAATAAAAAAATACACAAATTGGACTTTATGAACATTTCTAAATTTGTACATCAAATGATACTATCAACAGAGTAAAAAAAAATCCCACAAAATGAGAGAAAATATTTGCTAATCATTTATCTGCTGAACAATTAATATGCAGAATACACAGACAACTTAAAAAACCCAACAACAACAAGAAAAACACATTCATAAATGGGCAAAAGACTTGGAAGAACATTTCTCGGAGGCAGATACACAGATGGCCAACAAGCACATGAAGACATGCTCAACATCACAAATACAAATGCAAATCAAAACCACAGTGAGATGCCACATCACATTTACTAGAACGATTACTTAAAAAAAAAAAGAAAACAAGTGATGGAGAAGATGTGAAGAAATTGAAACCCTCGTGGTCTACTGGTAGAAAAGTAAGACTGTGCCAACAATGGAAAATAATAGGACAGTTCCTCTAAGAATTAAAAAGAAAACTACCCCATGATTCAGCAATTCCACTGCTGTGTGTGTAAACCCCAAATCACTTCAAGCAAGGTCGTAAAGAGATATCTGAACCCCACGTGCACAGCCGCATTATTCACAGCAGCTCAAAGGTGAGAGTCATCCCAGTGCCTCTCAAAGGGTGAATAGATAAGCAGACGCCGTAAATTATACACTGGAGTATCAGGCAGCCTTAACCAGATTGGAAATTCCAACATACAGCATAACGTGAATGCAACTTGAGGACATGATACTCAATGAAATAAGCCAATCACAAAAAGACAAATACTATAATACAATAAAAGACAAATTTATGGGGTACCCAGAGGAGTCAAGTTCACAGAGACGTGAAGTAGAAGAGTGACCGTTGCCAGGGGCAGGCAGGGTGGAGGGTGGGCGGGGGGTGGGGAGTCGGTGTTGAACAGGAATAGAGTTTCAAATTCTCAAAATTAAAGGAGTTCTAGAAATTAGTTGCACAGCTACGTGAAATAGTAAACGTTAGTGAAGTGTATACTTTACCATGGTTAAGATGGTAAACCTTACGTTCAGTGTATTTTACCACAATTTTTAAAATGTTAAAAGTTGGACTATCAAGAAAGTACCACAGTAATAAAACTATGTGCACCAATCACGCAGCTATACATATAAGCAAAAACTATTAAAATTCCAAATATAAATTGAGCTACATTTAAATAGGGTGTCATTTAAGACATCTTTTGCAGAATTGGGCACATTGAGGTTTTTTAATACAAACATTAAAAATATGCATTTTAAGAGCATCAGTGGAACATCCACAAGAACTGCCTGTGTGCTGCCTGATACAGGAGCTGTCAGTGGTACCTAGGGACCATTTCAAACGTTCCTAGTGCAGACCGAAATGTGCTCTCAGTATAAAATACACACCAATTTTTTTAAACCAGTAGCCCTGCCTGGTGTGGCTCAGCAGATTGAGTACCAGCCTATGAATCCAAGGGTCGCAAGTTCGATTACCAGTCAGGGCAGATGCCTGGGTGGCGGACCAGGGCCCCTACTGGGACTCAGTTCGTGACTCAGTGTCTCCGCTCCTACCCAGCCAGCGAAAATTGCACAAACGTAAAGAGGGTGCCTTCACCAAAGGACAATCACGGGAACCACACCGCCGTGTGTGAACCCTATCCCGGAACTTCACCCCCACCTCTCATTCCTCTTACTGACCATCACAGACCTTCACCGCACGACTGACGCCACTGGAACAATCTATCTCACCAAAGGCTTAGACGAAGAATGAGAGGAAGAAACCCACAGAGAAGATGGGTAGGTACGGCAGCACCTGGAACCAGTTTAAAAATTAAAACGCGCCCTGCCCGACACATGGATTGCATATAAGCACAGATACAGACCTGAGACAGTGGCTTCCTGTGGGCGCAGTTAATGCCCCCAATGAAGACCATGTTGGGCATGACCGGCCTGGGGTAGTCAAACACAAAGTCCCCTCTGAACAGCCACAGGGATGCGTAGCTGAAAACATCCACCAGTGACACCTCTCTCTGAAAAAGCTCAGAGGCCAGGCTTGCATAAGGAGATAAAGAAATGTGGCAAACATACTTCATGACCAGAGGGTAGAGCATGTTCTTGACCCTTTGCAGGAATGTCATGTGGTCTGAAAGCCTCGTTAGTAGCCTAGGAATATATGAGGAAGGGTTTGGGCACTGTGTGCCCTCAGAATCAAAGTCACATGGAAGGGCACGCAAAAAAAACACAGCAGGAACGGACAGGTACTGAGCCAGCACTGCCCCGCAGGGGTAGAGGGGGTCCGTCAAGACCACGTCAAAGGCGTTGGCATTCAATTGCCTGATCAGGTCCTTGTTATGCACCAGCTCCTCACAAGACTTTTGAAACATGAGAGACATATTTTTTATCATTTCCACAGTTTTCCAAAATGTTCTTAGATAATGCATTCTTTCAAAAATCAGGTAGCTCTGTCCCAGCATGATGTCCTGAAATTCTTCCTGGGTGTACAAAGTGGCGTAGGTTTTCAGGGTGAAAAAGTCTTCCTCCTTGATGTGCAAAGTCACCTCTGGTGAAAGGACCACTATTTGGTGGCCCCTGGCGTGGAGCTCCTCCACAACCTCCCGCATGCTGAGCCAGTGGCTGCCGTCCATGGGGACCACCAGCACCTTCCCGCCCTCAGCCCAGAGCCCAGCACACAGGCAGAGCAGCAGCCCCGTGAGTGCCGGGAGGGGAAGCAGTGGCCCCGCAGCCATCTCCGCAGATGTAGGAGCAGCTGACTTTTCGGCTCCGACTGAGTCTCCTACGTGGGATTCCTTTGTCTTATGCTGTCATCGAGCCAATTAACAGAAGGGCACGTCACTGCAGGGCTGGGTGCCCCACTTATGTTAATCATTACAGAATCGATCTGCCCTTGTCCTTCACCCTTCTACGTTTCCTAAGGAGATAACAATCCCCCTTATTTTGGGAATCCCCCCTTCTCTTTGAGAAGAGAACTCAGAGAAGTTCATCTGAGTTTTGCTGCTTTCTCCAGGGGACTTTCTAGTTCACTCTCCTTATTTCTCATTCAATTCCCCAACAAGGTTGTGGGTGCCCACATCAACTTTCCACCACGCCCGCTCCTCTGTGAACCGGGTTCTGCAGGGTTGTGACTGAGCTCCCAGGGGTCCCCAGTGCCCAGTCCCCAACCAGAACCTTGCTGCTGGATGTGCCCTTATTTGAGAACTCTTAAAACTCTTTCCTTCCATTGGTGGGTAACACAGAACACCCTCAGCAAGCATATGTTACATGGCCAAGACAGCTTCCTGCGATGGGAAAGGGGAGCCTGGCTCTCTGGTTTTGTCCTTCTTCCACACGAGCTCGTCTCTGCCATGTGCAGGGACGAGCCTGCTTGAGCAGCTGTCAACAACGGGAACATCTGGAGAAACCCTGAGCCCGAGCCTTGGTAAAGACAGCCCCGGGTTTCTTAAGGTTTCTTCACCCACCTCCGGGAATAGGAGTTGGGGTTCTCTGCAGCACAAGTGGGCAGTGATGCAGTGGGGCTGGAACTCACCCTCCTCCCAGGGTCTGTGCTCCCCGGGACAGCAGGGAGCTGCCACCTCGCCTTGGGCCAGGCAGGCTCTGTCTGAATTCCTCTCCTCTGTGCTGCTGTGGGTAGCAGTCTTTCACTACTTAGTTTCAGGGAGTAAGATGTGCCTTAATCCAGGCCTTTTGTACATCTTGCAGCCCTGAGTCCTCATGAGAATGGATTCCTCCAGAGCAGAGCAGGGTGGACCGCACGCCCTGGGGATGGTGTAAGTGGGCTCCTGCCCATCCTTGGTTTCTGCCACACGGACATCCAGGCTCAGGCGGCCATGACCAGTGAGGCTGCGGCTTCCCTTTGGAAGGAAATGACCCCATAACAGAGTCCACCCTGGGCATATGCACGCACACCAAGACACTGCCCGTGTGGCACCAGCCGCCACAACTCAGGCAGGGTGAGGTCCAGCCCCGTCTGGTAGGCTCTGAATCCAGGATCCAGCCTCTCTTGACAGCAACGGCTCTGCTCTCTTTTTCTGATACTCTTTCTGTCTGGGACACAACTGTATGTTTTCCCCAAGGCTCCATTTCTGTCCCTCACTCACAGGTGGAATCCTACCATTTCTGTCCACACCCCCCCACACAGACACATACACACACTCACTTCTACAAAAAGCCATGCAACCTAACCCGAGTGTGCAGGCCCCAGGCTGCTCACACCCCACATTAAAATCCTGAGGGCCACAGAGCCAATAGCTGGGAAGCTGCAACCTCAGCTTGTTACTGGTGCAACAGCCGCTGTTATTATTATCAGTGAGAGAAGCTGCCCTCCAGGATTCTCACCACCACCTTGTCACTGGCAGAAGCAGCAAGTCACTGGAGCAGGATCACCTTCTTTCTGTAAAGAACTCGGTAGGCCCCGTCCCTTGCACAGCTGTCACTGCACCGGACACTGTTGCAGGGCACGTATCCCAGGGCCATCTTTCTAGCTTTTGTCACTGTGACCACCAGCTCTGTGGTCACAGCCCAACCTGACAAGAGGCTGTGAGCCAAGTAAGAACACAGGGGGCACCTAGGGATCTGGTGACGGTGGTGGTGTTTGCTCTGCTCCGATGGGAGATCTAAATAAATCTAGAGAGAATAGATGAGGAGGCATGTGGTGACCTGGACGGGAAGATCTAACATGGGAAGGCTCTTGATTTTGAACCAGAGTAAGCTGTAGATTTAACAAAATGCCAAACAAAATCTCACTGGGATTTTTAACATGGCAAATAATGTTTACTTCACGCACAAGCATTTCCGTCCTCTGGTAATGCAACAGTAGTCCTTATCATACCAGCACTCTGCCAGGTAATCATTATAATTTTTACCACGCCCCCCCCCAAAATGTTTAAGCTGTCTCAAGGCACTAGACAGAAAGGAATAATAGGCAGAAACTGAAGGGGAACAAGTGGACACCAAATGGCATGGGAACAGGACAGTGGCCAAAGGCCTGGGAAGTCTCTGCTCTCTTCCCAGCCCTCACCTCCCATACCCCTAGGTCTGCCCTCACCCATTGCACCAGCTCCTCCCTGTTAACAGGGAGGTTATCTACAGCTCCTGCGTCTCCATGTAGCCAGAGGGTGGCCGGCACCTCAGTCAGTTTATCTCCCCAGGTGGCCAGCACCACCGTGGGGCAGTGAGGCTGAGAGGCATTCGCGTGTCCTCCATGCTGTGGCAGGTTTCCTTGGCAACCCTGCTCACTGCACCAAACTGTCAGAGCAGACCTCAGGGTACCGGGTACCAATGCCAGGGGAGAACTCCAGCTGCACCGAGGATAGTGGAGACCACCACTATGCCAGCCACCAGGGGAAGAAGGCCCAACACCTCTGCCCACTGCATCTTGCCACTGCAGTCGCCAGAGAGAACTCAACATGATCTCGCACTGGATGCAACACACTCTTCTTACACGGGAGACAATGAGTCAGCTCCAGCAGCGCCCCCTGTGGCCAGCAGGTGTCTACCCCAGCCGACACAGAGCTTCTCCCCCCACCCACACCACTGTAATGCAGTGGGAAGGCCCTGGCCCCTCCCCTTGGAGGGGAGATTCAACAGTTGGGTTGCCAGGTGCCACGTGATCTTTCTTCCAGCCTGAAACAGGAAAGACATTCCCGCACCAGGCGATAAGGCAGTGGGGGCTCCTGGTGGGGAAGACTCGCGTGCCCAGGGCCCATTGTATGTGGCGGGTGAGGCCAAAAGGTGGCCCTGGGGAGACTGCCTTTCCCAGCACCCACTCCAGTGGCTCTTTGCATGCAGGCAAGCCACAGCTGGTGCCACGTCACACCCCTGAAACTCACTCTCAGATGCACTGATGTCCCCACCGACCCCTGCACAGAGGCACAGAAAGGGCAGGAAGCATGCTGAGCAGTGAGTGAGTAAACGATGGGAAACTCCCAAGCAGGCCAGTGCAGGCAGCAGGAGGCTGCACGTAGACCGTGCTCTCACCTCCTAGGGCTGCTGATGCAGAGCGCCCGGACTGGGGCACTGAGGACAGCAGAGAGTGAGTGGCCTCATACTCCGGAGGGCAGAGCCCAAATCGGGGATGGTCCCTTGAGGGCTCTGGCGGGGTGGGGGGTCTTTCTCTGCCGTTCCCAGCTCCTGGCGTTTGCCTGCAGGTCTTGGTCCTCCCTCCGAGTGAGGACGCACCACTCCAGGCGCGAGCCCACCTTCTCCCTGTGCATTCGCGCTGTTCCTCTGGTGTGTCTCTTTCTGTGTCCGAATTCCCTTTTATAAGGACACTAGTTGTATCGGATCAGGGACCCCCCTCAGGACCTCGTACTAACTGGATTACCTCCGCAAGGATTGTTTCCAAAGAAGGTCACATTCTCAGGTGCTGGGGGCTCAGGACTCTTCTGAGGGGGTCCCAATTCCACGAGCCTCATGGGCTAAGCTGGGGGCCCCAGCTCTCTCCTAAAGACTGGGGCAGCCACTGAGGTGGGCGCGGCAGGTTTGGCTTTGCGTTTCTGAAATGTTCCGCTCACGCAAAAGTACAGGATGACTTAGTAAGTCAGGCTGGACCCAGGAGTCCCACTGGGAGCCTGCTCCTGAGAGGCGAGGACCTGAACCAGAGCTGCAGAGGCCCTGGGGGGAGTGGAAATAACGCCGTTGTCCATCGGCTGCTGAGCAGATACACAAAGTGTGGAATATCCATGGCACAAAATACCATTTGGGAATAAAAAGTGATGCTACGACACGGGTGAACCTTGGAAACATCATGCTGAGTGGGAAAAAGTCAGTCCCTTTATTATTTGATTCGATTTGTATGAAACGATCAGCATAGGCAAATCCATAAAGACAGGAAGTTGACTGGTGGTGGCCAGAGGGTGAAGAGAAGAGGGAATCGGGAGTAACTGCTAATTGGTACTTCTGTGTGTGTGTTGGGGGGGGACTGAAAATCTTCTAAAACTGACTGTGGAGACGGTTGCACAACTCCGTGACGGCATGAAGCATCGCATCGTGAACTTTAAATGAATTGCACAGTATGTGAGTTATACCTTAATATAAAATAAAATACCCTACTAAATTTCATTCTCCTCAAATTATCCAAATTATTAGCCAACCTAGTTTCTAATGTTTCAGACACTTGTGTTGAATCCTTTTTACTTTTCAACCTTGACTCACGCTGGCACTTTGCCACTCTATACACAAGTGTTTTGTAACAAAAGCAACGCTGTGTAAGTGTTGCACACGTCTGTTCATCTCCAAGACAACCAGTCACAAAGAAAAACACAGGGTTGGGAAAGAGAAGGGAACCGCTAGAAGAATCGTAGCCACTGGCTTTGGTCACGTGTTCCTGAAAGTGCCTATTAAGAATGACTTGGCACTTTTGGGGTTTGGCTCCCTAACTTGCTTATAATTCAGTCCTCAGGTCAACCAACAGTACTGAAATTTTAACCTGAATGTGCTATTCTCGGAGACACCCGATAGGGGGAGGAGGTGACTCAGGGGTGGGCAAAGGGTGCTTGCCGCCCCCTCAGCACCCCGATCCTGCCTTGCTGTGTAGAAGTCACTGATACCCACTTGGAATTTATTCACATCAGCATTTCTCAAATTCAGTGCTATTGCCATTGGGGGTCAGGTCATTCTCTGTTGGGACTGAGTGGGCGGGCGTTTCTTGTGCTTTGTAGGGTTCTTAACAGCATCCCTGGACTTTACTTACTAGATGACAGTGTCACCTCCCAAATGCAGCAGCAAAAATGTCCTCAGGGATTACCCCTCGAGGGGCAAAAGTGCCCCTACTTGAGAACCACTCTCTGGATGATTCTGGAACACCACAGGAGGAAACTCTGGAACAGAAGAGCTACTGCTGAGGAACTGAAACCTAGTTTTCTGGGGAAATGCTCCCCCCAACTGTCGCAAGAAAACCACGTTGTCACCCTGGTTGATGTGGCTCAGTGGACTGAGCACCTGTGAACCAAAGGGTTGCTGGTTCAATTCCCAGTCAAAGTAGGTGCCTGGGTTGAGAGCCAGGTCCCCAGTAGGGGGCGAGCAAGAGGCAACCACACATTGCTGTTTTTCTCTCTCTCTCTTTCTCACTCTCTTTCCCTCTCTAAAAATAAATAAATGAAATCTATTTTTAAAAAAACCTGTGTTCATCACCTCACAGAGAGAAAGTGTCAGCCTGGATTGAGCTAAGGGGCAGAGGGGAGGGGAGGGTGCGGTTTCCTCTGACAGCCCACACCTGTGCTCTCTCTCTCTCGTCCTCTCTCTCTCACTCATACACATTTACATGCTGCCACCTGACCCTCACACAACCCTGGCGAGGACAAGCAGACGGTGCTGGTCCCATTTCCAGATGAGGAAGCAGAAGTCCAAGTCTACGAGGCCAGGAGGAGGCTGGCCAGACCCGCTGACAGGCCAATCAGCCTTCTTTCTTCCCTGCGTGAGGCTGCTACTTGCAGGCCAGCGGGTGACCACCGGTGGGAGAGTGTCAGGGAGAGGGGACTTGTCTTGCCCCTGCACCCACTTCGGCCGTGGCCTTGGGCAACACGCTCAGAGAGCAGCACCGGTTTGCCCCTTTACGAGACGGAGTTGGACGGCCCCGTCTGCGGGCCTCCATCCCACGATCGTGGCCTAAAGTGGCCCTGTCCTATCTGCATCACATTAAGTGTCCTGGGAACTTGGCCTTCCCTGCCCACCCACCACCATGTCCTGAGGCTTCCCGTGCCACACAGGGAGAGACAAATGCTCAGAGGTAAGCCACCTACCTCGGCCACACAGGCGGGTTCATTCCAAGCCTTAGAGCTCTTACTCTGCTGATACAGTGGGGACCAAGGCGGGACACCTGGAGCTTCACAAGTTTTATTTTCCACAGCAGTGCCTGGCCTTCTTCCCCCAGTGTCTGAGGGCGTCCACAGACACCTGCCTCGGGTCAGAGGTCAACATACCTTCTCTGTAAAGGGTTACACCCTAACTCTGTAGACGTAGCAGGCCACGTACACCTCTGCCCCATATTTCTTATTGTTGTTTTTAACATCCATTCAAAAACATGAAAACCATTCCTAGCTCTGGGCCATACAGCCACAGGCCTCATCTGGGCTGATGCGGTTCAATGGCTGTAGTTTGCTGAGCCCTGGTTAAGGGCTGGAGCAAAGAGCAGGACACAGAGTCGGGAGATCTGGTTTTGGCCTGGACTGATCTCTTAGCTCTGCATCCCCCTGCGCAAGCCCTCACCTGCTTCTTCAGCAGGTAAGGGTAGGGTTTGGCCTGGAGACTTCTCAGGCTCATCTACCGATGTCCTCAGATTACCTAGTCAAGGCTATCTCCTGCTCTTGCCAGGTGCAGCCCTGTCTTCATTCGAAGCTTCTGCATAGCTCAAAAGCTCGGCCCAGGGCTCCCTCCCCCCTACTCCGAGCTGGGCACCCCATTCCAGGTAGCCCTCCTGGCTGACAGCTGCTGGAGGAGCCAAAGGAGTATGAGCAGAGGGTGACGAAACAGCGCCACTGCAAAGAAATAAAGCCACCAACCTGAGACAGGACTCCCTTCTTCTTACAGTTGGTTCCCCCAATGAAGACCATGTTGGGTAGGACCGGCCTGGGATACTCCAACACAAAGTCATATCTTAACAGCCAAATGGAAACCTTCCGATACAAGGCAGGCAAGTGCACTTCTCTCTTGAGGATATCTGAGGCCAGTTCTTCGTACTTTGAATACAGACAGTGAAATAGAAAGCTCTCCAAGTAGTTAACGAGGAAGTTGGCCACCCGTTGGAAGAAAGTCATCCGGTCTGAGAACTGGGTGTAGCACCTGGGAATGTAGGACACGGGGTTCGGGCTGCGGCTGAACGTGTGCTCCAGGGAACACGGGAAGCCCCTGAACAGGTACACGGAGGGCAGGCCCAGGTACTCGGCCAGGATCACCCCGCAGGGCGTGTCCGGGTCTGTGAAAAGGGCGTCGAACTTGCTGTCCCTGAGGAAACGCAAGGTGGCCGAGTCTTTCAAGAGGCTCTGGCAGCCGACAAAGATCATGTGTGTGATCATCTCAATGTTCCTGTACTCCACCAGGCTGGCATTCAGGAGCGACCTCTCAGCGAACTGCTGGTACCCAAAGGCGAGGAGCCTCCGCTGCAGCTCCTCCTGATCGTACGGCACCGCAAAGGTTTTCCTGGTGTAGTGCGTGGACTCCTTCAGGAGCAAATTGGTTTCGGGCACCAGCACCACAACGTCATGGCCCCTGTCACCGAGCACCTCCACTATGTTCTTCATGCTGAGCCAGTGGCTTCCATCCTGAGGGACCACCAGCAGCTTGCCACCCAGAACCACACCCCAAAGTGCGAAGAGGAACACCCCTGAAGAAATGCCCTGAAACGCATGCAGGGTGCAGGCCATCCTGACGGCGACTGCGGGCCCAACAAGAATGAAAAATTTATGCGCCCTAAACCACAGGACTTCTGGTTCTGTTTTCTACCCTGCCCCACCCACCTCTCCACACTCTGAATTTTGCAAAAACCCAAATTAATATTTAACTGTCTTTAAGCACACAGGTAACTCGAACCAACTGTGCATCGTAGTTTCTGCCTGAGCTTCTGGGTTTCTTCTCTTGGTCTGCACCAAAATGCCTGTCTCTCTGGTTTGAGGAAAACTTGGAGAGGCCCCTGGAGCCAGAGCAGCCCTCTCTCCTAAGCACCAGGGCACCGCAGCATCAGTGATGGGCATGTTCACAAAGGAACATGTGGTGTCGGTGTCCTTCCACTTCCTTAGCAATTTGGCTCACAGGGGCAAGCAAGCATAAACAGAGCCCCGGTTGGCACAGCGGCAGCCGGATTAAAAGGCAGGCAGAGAGGAGTCTGATAGACCTTTCCAGCCCTCCCACCCACCTGGTTGCGCTGCTGTTACTGGGAGTCTCTGTTACATCAAAGACAGAATCGAATCCTAACAGAGCTGCTCTGACACTGCAGTTCCCACTAGGCAGTGAAGAACATGCACTCTGGAGCCTCCTGCCCCTTCTGAGCCCTGCGTGGCCCCACCGCCCTTCACCCGCACTGCTGCGCCTGTCGTGCGTGGGGTGGCATCAGGACCTTCCCCCAGGGGCTGTGAGCATGAGCTGAGCACAGGTCCCTGGGAGGGGCTCCCTCTGGGTCTGGCCCCACAGCCAGGTTCTACGTGGCCTGAACTGAGAGGCACTCGGGGGTTGAAAGCACCCCTAAAACATCTCATGGCCCTGCCCTGTGAATGCAAGAACTACAGGAAGGATGAAGGGGACGGAAGAGGAAGTGGAAATGAAGAAGAGAAGAAAATGCAGAAACAGGAAACAATGGGAAGGCGTCCGCGGACAGAGCATTTGATGGAGGTGACTGGACCAGCCAGCATCGCCCAGGAAGGCGGTTCCCCCAGCAGGACCCCGACGACGCGCTTGGCTTCTGAAACAATTTCCTGTTGTCTTCTTTTCCTAGGGCCACTGTAACAAAGGGCCACGCTCTGGGTGGCCTGGAAAACAGGTTGATGCCCGCAGCTCTGGAGGCTGAGATCCAGGTGTCATTTGGGCCCGTTCCTCCTGAGGACTCTGAGGGGAAACCTGTGCCAGGCTTGCTTCTGGCTCCTGGTGTCTCGCTGGTCGTCTTTGGAGGCCCTGGCTTTGCAGAGCATCGCCCTTCCTCTGCCTCCATCATCACATGGTGTCCTCCCTGTGTGCCTGCCTGTGTCCAGATTTCCCCTTCAGATAAAGACACAGGTCCTACTGGACCAGGGCACGTCCTACTGACCTCATTTCAATGAACTAATGGCATCGGCAAAGATTATATTTCCAAATAGGGTCGTGTTGTGAGGTTCCAGGTGTCAGGACTTCAACATATTTTGGGGGGGAGCACAGCCCAACCCTAACCCTTAGCCATCAGCTCAGGCAATACTAACCCCCAGCTGACCACCCTTCTGCAGTTGAGCAACCGAGGCCTGCTGCCCAGGAAAGGACTGTTTTGGCAACCTCACCCAGCTTCGGAAGGAAAAATAAAATTGGCTCTTTCTAGATCAGCGGTCCTCAAACTTCGAGGGCAGGGGTGATTCCTTTCATTCTCGGCTGTGTGCTCAGGGTCCAGAGCAATGCCTGGCACATGGTGGACACTTGGCACAAGTTTGCCAAATGAATGAATGAATGCGCTTTTGATTTGCCTATTGGTTTTATTCTCACATTTCATTTTCTTCTTTGTTTTTTTTTTTAAATTGTCAGGGTTCACACATCAAATAGAATATTTAAAGACCATGTGCTAGAACTTCCAGTTGAGATGGAGGCGTAGGGAAACGCAGCTTGCCTCTTGGCACAACCACGGCAAAATTACAACTAAAATATAAAACAAACGTCACTTGGAACTGTCAGGAAATCAAGCCGTATGGAAGAATGACAACTAAGGAATTAAAGAAATCACATTCGTCTGGATGGGTAGGAAGGGCAGAGACTTGGAGACATGGAGACGTGGAGACGCTGAGCGAGCTGGTCCCAAACCCACGTGTGGTGGTTATAAAACAGAGGGATATCTTGGGAGCAAGTGATCCCAGCCCCACATCAGACTACCCAGCCCAGGGTTCTAGTGCCCGGAAGGTAAGTCCCCACAACTTCTGGCTGTAAAGATCCGGTGGGGATTGGGAGGGTGGAAGAAACAGCAGCATTCTCAGGCACCATATCTGAGTCACCATCCACCCAGATCACACAGTAGGCCCCGCCCTGACGATCACCTAAGGCCCCACCCAGGCAACGCCCTGATAACAGTGGCTTTTCCACGTGAAAGGCGTCCGCGGACGAGGGCGGCAGGAGAGCAGAGGGTTGAACACCTGCTACCCTGCATTGACAGACATGGGAAAGTGCCAGAGAATTTCCACAGTAACAACAGCACAAGAAAAAACTTGTTAAAAATGAAAGAAAGAAAGAAAGAAAGAAAGAAAGAAAGAAAGAAAGAAAGAAAGAGCAAAAAGAACGAGTCTATACCAAATGGAAGGAATAAAATCAAGTATATATATTATGTGAGTTTACAGAATTCTTACAGCAGAAGAAACAATCATGAGAGGCATTTTAAAAATGTTATTAAAAACTCTTTAAGCAAGTTTTTTAATGAAGTTTTTAAGTTGAAATAGACATGACTTTACATAAATGGCCAAATGAGTTTTGGCAAAGGTGGCAAGAGCATCCAATGGGGGAAGACAGTCTTCACAGCATGGATTTCTGGGGAAACTGGACACCCACATACTAGAGAATGAAACTGGGCCCTGAGCTCACACCTCACGCAAAAACCAACTCAACGTAAATAAAGCACACACACGCAAAGCCTGATGCACACTAAAGCTCCTAGAAGAAACTGCAGGACAAATTTCGACATTAGATTTGGCAATGATTTTCGGATATGACACCAAAGACAGGTAATAAAAAATAGACAAATTGGACTTTATGAACATTTTTAAATTTGTACATCAAATGATACTATCAACAGAGTAAAAAAAAACCCCACAAAATGAGAGAAAATATTTGCTAATCATTTATCTGCTGAACAATTAATATGCAGAATACACAGACAACTTTAAAAACTCAACAACAACAAGAAAAACACATTCATAAATGGGCAAAAGACTTGGAAGAACATTTCTTGGAGGCAGATACACAGATGGCCAACAAGCACATGAAGACATGCTCAACATCACAAATACAAATGCAAATCAAAACCACAGTGAGATGCCACATCACATTTACTAGAACGATTACTTAAAAAAAAAAAAGAAAACAAGTGATGGAGAAGATGTGAAGAAATTGAAACCCTCGTGCTCTACTGGTAGAAAAGTAAGACTGTGCCAACAATGGAAAATAATAGGACAGTTCCTCTAAGAATTAAAAAGAAAACTACCCCATGATTCAGCAATTCCACTGCTGTGTGTGTAAACCCCAAATCACTTAAAGCAAGGTCGTAAAGAGATATCTGAACCCCACGTGCACAGCCGCATTATTCACAGCAGCTCAAAGGTGAGAGTCATCCCAGTGCCTCTCAAAGGGTGAATAGATAAGCAGACGCCATAAATTATACACTGGAGTATCAGGCAGCCTTAACCAGATTGGAAATTCCAAGATACAGCATAATGTGAATGCAACTTGAGGACATGATACTCAATGAAATAAGCCAATCACAAAAAGACAAATACTATAATACAATAAAAGACAAATTTATGGGGTACCCAGAGGAGTCAAGTTCACAGAGACATGAAGTAGAAGACTGACCGTTGCCAGGGGCAGGCAGGGTGGGGGGTGGGCGGGGGGTGGGGAGTCGGTGTTGAACAGGAATAGAGTTTCAAATTCTCGAAATTAAAGGAGTTCTAGAAATTAGTTGCACAGCTACGTGAAATAGTAAACGTTAGTGAAGTGTATACTTTACCATGGTTAAGATGGTAAACCTTACGTTCAGTGTATTTTACCACAATTTTTAAAATGTTAAAAGTTGGACTATCAAGAAAGTACCACAGTAATAAAACTATGTGCACCAATCACGCAGCTATACATATAAGCAAAAACTATTAAAATTCCAAATATAAATTGAGCTACATTTAAATAGGGTGTCATTTAAGACATCTTTTGCAGAATTGGGCACATTGAGGTTTTTTAATACAAACATTAAAAATATGCATTTTAAGAGCATCAGTGGAACATCCACAAGAACTGCCTGTGTGCTGCCTGATACAGGAGCTGTCAGTGGTACCTAGGGACCATTTGAAACGTTCCTAGTGCAGACCGAAATGTGCTCTGAGTATAAAATACACACCAAATTTTTTAAAACAGTAGCCCTGCCTGGTGTGGCTCAGCAGATTGAGTACCAGCCTATGAATCCAAGGGTCGCAAGTTCGATTACCAGTCAGGGCAGATGCCTGGGTGGCGGACCAGGGCCCCTACTGGGACTCAGTTCGTGACTCAGTGTCTCCGCTCCTACCCAGCCAGCGAAAATTGCACAAACGTAAAGAGGGTGCCTTCACCAAAGGACAATCACGGGAACCACACCGCCGTGTGTGAACCCTATCCCGGAACTTCACCCCCACCTCTCATTCCTCTTACTGACCATCACAGACCTTCACCGCACGACTGACGCCACTGGAACAATCTATCTCACCAAAGGCTTAGACGAAGAATGAGAGGAAGAAACCCACAGAGAAGATGGGAAGGTACGGCAGCACCTGGAACCAGTTTAAAAATTAAAACGCGCCCTGCCCGACACATGGATTGCATATAAGCACAGATACAGACCTGAGACAGTGGCTTCCTGTGGGCGCAGTTAATGCCCCCAATGAAGACCATGTTGGGCATGACCGGCCTGGGGTAGTCAAACACAAAGTCCCCTCTGAACAGCCACAGGGATGCGTAGCTGAAAACATCCACCAGTGACACCTCTCTCTGAAAAAGCTCAGAGGCCAGGCTTGCATAAGGAGATAAAGAAATGTGGCAAACATACTTCATGACCAGAGGGTAGAGCATGTTCTTGACCCTTTGCAGGAATGTCATGTGGTCTGAAAGCCTCGTTAGTAGCCTAGGAATATATGAGGAAGGGTTTGGGCACTGTGTGCCCTCAGAATCAAAGTCACATGGAAGGGCACGCAAAAAAAACACAGCAGGAACGGACAGGTACTGAGCCAGCACTGCCCCGCAGGGGTAGAGGGGGTCCGTCAAGACCACGTCAAAGGCGTTGGCATTCAATTGCCTGATCAGGTCCTTGTTATGCACCAGCTCCTCACAAGACTTTTGAAACATGAGAGACATATTTTTCATAATTTCCACAGTTTTCCAAAATGTTCTTAGATAATGCATTCTTTCAAAAATCAGGTAGCTCTGTCCCAGCATGATGTCCTGAAATTCTTCCTGGGTGTACGAAGTGGCGTAGGTTTTCAGGGTGAAAAAGTCTTCCTCCTTGATGTGCAAAGTCACCTCCGGTGAAAGGACCACTATTTGGTGGCCCCTGGCGTGGAGCTCCTCCACGACCTCCCGCATGCTGAGCCAGTGGCTGCCCTCCATGGGGACCACCAGCACCTTCCCGCCCTCAGCCCAGAGCCCAGCACACAGGCAGAGCAGCAGCCCCGTGAGTGCCGGGAGGGGAAGCAGGGGCCCCGCAGCCATCTCCGCAGATGTAGGAGCAGCTGACTTTTCGGCTCCGACTGAGTCTCCTACGTGGGATTCCTTTGTCTTATGCTGTCATCGAGCCAATTAACAGAAGGGCACGTCACTGCAGGGCTGGGTGCCCCACTTATGTTAATCATTACAGAATCGATGTGCCCTTGTCCTTCACCCTTCTACGTTTCCTAAGGAGATAACAATCCAACTTATTTTGGGAATCCCCCCTTCTCTTTGAGAAGAGAACTCAGAGAAGTTCATCTGAGTTTTGCTGCTTTCTCCAGGGGACTTTCTAGTTCACTCTCCTTATTTCTCATTCAATTCCCCAACAAGGTTGTGGGTGCCCACATCAACTTTCCACCACGCCCGCTCCTCTGTGAACCGGGTTCTGCAGGGTTGTGACTGAGCTCCCAGGGGTCCCCAGTGCCCAGTCCCCAACCAGAACCTTGCTGCTGGATGTGCCCTTATTTGAGAACTCTTAAAACTCTTTCCTTCCATTGGTGGGTAACACAGAACACCCTCAGCAAGCATATGTTACATGGCCAAGACAGCTTCCTGCGATGGGAAAGGGGAGCCTGGCTCTCTGGTTTTGTCCTTCTTCCACACGAGTTCGTCTCTGCCATGTGCAGGGACGAGCCTGCTTGAGCAGCTGTCAACAACGGAAACATCTGGAGAAACCCTGAGCCCGAGCCTTGGTAAAGACAGCCCCGGGTTTCTTAAGGTTTCTTCACCCACCTCCGGGAATAGGAGTTGGGGTTCTCTGCAGCACAAGTGGGCAGTGATGCAGTGGGGCCGGAACTCACCCTCCTCCCAGGGTCTGTGCTCCCCGGGACAGCAGGGAGCTGCCACCTCGCCTTGGGCCAGGCAGGCTCTGTCTGAATTCCTCTCCTCTGTGCTGCTGTGGGTAGCAGTCTTTCACTACTTAGTTTCAGGGAGTAAGATGTGCCTTAATCCAGGCCTTTTGTACATCTTGCAGCCCTGAGTCCTCATGAGAATGGATTCCTCCAGAGCAGGGTGGGCCGCACGCCCTGGGGACGGTGTAAGTGGGTTCCTGCCCATCCTTGGTTTCTGCCACACGGACATCCAGGCTCAGGCGGCCATGACCAGTGAGGCTGCAGCTTCCCTTTGGAAGGAAATGACCCCATAACAGAGTCCACCCTGGGCATATGCACGCACACCAAGACACTGCCCGTGTGGCACCAGCCGCCACAACTCAGGCAGGGCGAGGTCCAGCCCCGTCTGGTAGGCTCTGAATCCAGGATCCAGCCTCTCTTGACAGCAACGGCTCTGCTCTCTTTTTCTGATACTCTTTCTGTCTGGGACACAACTGTATGTTTTCCCCAAGGCTCCATTTCTGTCCCTCACTCACAGGTGGAATCCTACCATTTCTGTCCACACCCCCCCCCCACAGACACATACACACACTCACTTCTACAAAAAGCCATGCAACCTAACCCGAGTGTGCAGGCCCCAGGCTGCTCACACCCCACATTAAAATCCTGAGGGCCACAGAGCCAATAGCTGGGAAGCTGCAACCTCAGCTTGTTACTGGTGCAACAGCCGCTGTTATTATTATCAGTGAGAGAAGCTGCCCTCCAGGATTCTCACCACCACCTTGTCACTGGCAGAAGCAGCAAGTCACTGGAGCAGGATCACCTTCTTTCTGTAAAGAACTCGGTAGGCCCCGTCCCTTGCACGGCTGTCACTGCACCGGACACTGTTGCAGGGCACGTATCCCAGGGCCATCTTTCTAGCTTTTGTCACTGTGACCACCAGCTCTGTGGTCACAGCCCAACCTGACAAGAGGCTGTGAGCCAAGTAAGAACACAGGGGGCACCTAGGGATCTGGTGACGGTGGTGGTGTTTGCTCTGCTCCGATGGGAGATCTAAATAAATCTAGAGAGAATAGATGAGGAGGCATGTGGTGACCTGGACGGGAAGATCTAACATGGGAAGGCTCTTGATTTTGAACCAGAGTAAGTTGTAGATTTAACAAAATGCCAAACAAAATCTCACTGGGATTTTTAACATGGCAAATAATGTTTACTTCACGCACAAGCATTTCCGTCCTCTGGTAATGCAACAGTAGTCCTTATCATACCAGCGCTCTGCCAGGTAATCATTATAATTTTTACCACGCCCCCCCCCAAAATGTTTAAGCTGTCTCAAGGCACTAGACAGAAAGGAATAATAGGCAGAAACTGAAGGGGAACAAGTGGACACCAAATGGCATGGGAACAGGACGGTGGCCAAAGGCCTGGGAAGTCTCTGCTCTCTTCCCAGCCCTCACCTCCCATACCCCTAGGTCTGCCCTCACCCATTGCACCAGCTCCTCCCTGTTAACAGGGAGGTTATCTACAGCTCCTGCGTCTCCATGTAGCCAGAGGGTGGCCGGCACCTCAGTCAGTTTATCTCCCCAGGTGGCCAGCACCACCGTGGGGCAGTGAGGCTGAGAGGCATTCGCGTGTCCTCCATGCTGTGGCAGGTTTCCTTGGCAACCCTGCTCACTGCACCAAACTGTCAGAGCAGACCTCAGGGTACCGGGTACCAATGCCAGGGGAGAACTCCAGCTGCACCGAAGATAGTGGAGACCACCACTATGCCAGCCACCAGGGGAAGAAGGCCCAACACCTCTGCCCACTGCATCTTGCCACTGCAGTCGCCAGAGAGAACTCAACATGATCTCGCACTGGATGCAACACACTCTTCTTACACGGGAGACAATGAGTCAGCTCCAGCAGCGCCCCCTGTGGCACCAGGTGTCTACCCCAGCCGACACAGAGCTTCTCCCCCCACCCACACCACTGTAATGCAGTGGGAAGGCCCTGGCCCCTCCCCTTGGAGGGGAGATTCAACAGTTGGGTTGCCAGGTGCCACGTGATCTTTCTTCCAGCCTGAAACAGGAAAGACATTCCCGCACCAGGCGATAAGGCAGTGGGGGCTCCTGGTGGGGAAGACTCGCGTGCCCAGGGCCCATTGTATGTGGCGGGTGAGGCCAAAAGGTGGCCCTGGGGAGACTGCCTTTCCCAGCACCCACTCCAGTGGCTCTTTGCATGCAGGCAAGCCACAGCTGGTGCCACGTCACACCGCTGAAACTCACTCTCAGATGCACTGATGTCCCCACCGACCCCTGCACAGAGGCACAGAAAGGGCAGGAAGCATGCTGAGCAGTGAGAGAGTAAACGATGGGAAACTCCCAAGCAGGCCAGTGCAGGCAGCAGGAGGCTGCACGTAGACCGTGCTCTCACCTCCTAGGGCTGCTGATGCAGAGCGCCCGGACTGGGGCACTGAGGACAGCAGAGAGTGAGTGGCCTCATACTCCGGAGGGCAGAGCCCAAATCGGGGATGGTCCCTTGAGGGCTCTGGCGGGGTGGGGGGTCTTTCTCTGCCGTTCCCAGCTCCTGGCGTTTGCCTGCAGGTCTTGGTCCTCCCCCGAGTGAGGACGCACCACTCCAGGCGCGAGCCCACCTTCTCCCTGTGCATTCGCGCTGTTCCTCTGGTGTGTCTCTTTCTGTGTCCGAATTCCCTTTTATAAGGACACTAGTTGTATCGGATCAGGGACCCCCTCATGACCTCGTACTAACTGGATTACCTCCGCAAGGATTGTTTCCAAAGAAGGTCACATTCTCAGGTGCTGGGGGCTCAGGACTCTTCTGAGGGGGTCCCAATTCCACGAGCCTCATGGGCTAAGCTGGGGGCCCCAGCTCTCTCCTAAAGACTGGGGCAGCCACTGAGGTGGGCGCGGCAGGTTTGGCTTTGCGTTTCTGAAATGTTCCGCTCACGCAAAAGTACAGGATGACTTAGTAAAGTCAGGCTGGACCCAGGAGTCCCACTGGGAGCCTGCTCCTGAGAGGCGAGGACCTGAACCAGAGCTGCAGAGGCCCTGGGGGGAGTGGAAATAACGCCATTGTCCATCGGCTGCTGAGCAGATACACAAAGTGTGGAATATCCATGGCACAAAATACCATTTGGGAATAAAAAGTGATGCTACGACATGGGTGAACCTTGGAAACATCATGCTGAGTGGGAAAAAGTCAGTCCCTTTATTATTTGATTCGATTTGTATGAAACGATCAGCATAGGCAAATCCATAAAGACAGGAAGTTGACTGGTGGTGGCCAGAGGGTGAAGAGAAGAGGGAATCGGGAGTAACTGCTAATTGGTACTTCTGTGTGTGTGTTGGGGGGGGACTGAAAATCTTCTAAAACTGACTGTGGAGACGGTTGCACAACTCCGTGACGGCATGAACAAGCATCACATCGTGAACTTTAAATGAATTGCACGGTATGTGAGTTATACCTTAATATAAAATAAAATACCCTACTAAATTTCATTCTCCTCAAATTATCCAAATTATTAGCCAACCTAGTTTCTAATGTTTCAGACACTTGTGTTGAATCCTTTTTACTTTTCAACCTTGACTCACGCTGGCACTTTGCCACTCTATACACAAGTGTTTTGTAACAAAAGCAACGCTGTGTAAGTGTTGCACACGTCTGTTCATCTCCAAGACAACCAGTCACAAAGAAAAACACAGGGTTGGGAAAGAGAAGGGAACCGCTAGAAGAATCGTAGCCACTGGCTTTGGTCACGTGTTCCTGAAAGTGCCTGTTAAGAATGACTTGGCACTTTTGGGGTTTGGCTCCCTAACTTGCTTATAATTCAGTCCTCAGGTCAACCAACAGTACTGAAATTTTAACCTGAATGTGCTATTCTCGGAGACACCCGATAGGGGGAGGAGGTGACTCAGGGGTGGGCAAAGGGTGCTTGCCGCCCCCTCAGCACCCCGATCCTGCCTTGCTGTGTAGAAGTCACTGATACCCACTTGGAATTTATTCACATCAGCATTTCTCAAATTCAGTGCTATTGCCATTTGGGGTCAGGTCATTCTCTGTTGGGACTGAGTGGGTGGGCGTTTCTTGTGCTTTGTAGGGTTCTTAACAGCATCCCTGGACTTTACTTACTAGATGACAGTGTCACCTCCCAAATGCAGCAGCAAAAATGTCCTCAGGGATTTACCCCTCGAGGGGCAAAATTGCCCCTACTTGAGAACCACTCTCTAGATGATTCTGGAACACCAGAGGAGGAAACTCTGGAACAGAAGAGGTACTGCTGAGGAACTGAAACCTCTTTTTCTGGGGAAATGCTCCCCCCAACTGTCGCAAGAAAACCACGTTGTCACCCTGGTTGATGCGGCTCAGGGGATTGAGCTCCTGTGAACCAAAGGGTTGCTGGTTCAATTCCCAGTCAAAGTAGGTGCCTGGGTTGAGAGCCAGGTCCCCAGTAGGGGGCGAGCAAGAGGCAACCACACATTGCTGTTTTTCTCTCTCTTTCTCACTCTCTTTCCCTCTCTAAAAATAAATAAATGAAATCTATTTTTAAAAAACCTGTGTTCATCACCTCACAGGGAGAAAGTGTCAGCCTAGATTGAGCTAAGGGGCAGAGGGGAGGGGAGGGTGCGGTTTCCTCTGACAGCCCACACCTGTGCTCTCTCTCTCTCGTCCTCTCTCTCTCACTCATACACTTTTACATGCTGCCACCTGACCCTCACACAACCCTGGCGAGGACAAGCAGACGGTGCTGGTCCCATTTCCAGATGAGGAAGCAGAAGTCCAAGTCTACGAGGCCAGGAGGAGGCTGGCCAGACCCGCTGACAGGCCAATCAGCCTTCTTTCTTCCCTGCGTGAGGCTGCTACTTGCAGGCCAGCGGGTGACCACCGGTGGGAGAGTGTCAGGGAGAGGGGACTTGTCTTGCCCCTGCACCCGCTTCGGCCGTGGCCTTGGGCAACACGCTCAGAGAGCAGCACCGGTTTGCCCCTTTAGGAGACAGAGTTGGACGGCCCCGTCTGCGGGCCTCCATCCCACGATCGTGGCCTAAAGTGGCCCTGTCCTATCTGCATCACATTAAGTGTCCTGGGAACTTGGCCTTCCCTGCCCACCCACCACCATGTCCTGAGGCTTCCCACGCCACACAGGGAGAGACAAATGCTCAGGGTTAAGCCACCTACCTTGGCCACACAGGCGGGTTCATTCCAAGCCTTAGAGCTCTTACTCTGCTGATACAGTGGGGACCAGGGTGGGACGCCTGGAGCCTCACAAGTTTTATTTTCCACAGCAGTGCCTGGCCTTCTTCCCCCAGTGTCTGAGGGCGTCCACAGACACCTGCCTCGGGTCAGAGGTCAACATACCTTCTCTGTAAAGGGTTACACCCTAACTCTGTAGACGTAGCAGGCCACGTACACCTCTGCCCCATATTTCTTATTGTTGTTTTTAACATCCATTCAAAAACATGAAAACCATTCCTAGCTCTGGGCCATACAGCCACAGGCCTCACTGGGTTGATGTGGTTCAATGGCTGTAGTTTGCTGAGCCCTGGTTAAGGGCTGGAGCAAAGAGCAGGACACAGAGTTGGGAGATCTGGTTTTGGCCTGGACTGATCTCTTAGCTCTGCATCCTCCTGCGCAAGCCCTCACCTGCTTCTTCAGCAGGTAAGGGTAGGGTTTGGCCTGGAGACTTCTCAGGCTCATCTACCGATGTCCCCAGATTACCTAGCCAAGGCTATCTCCTGCTCTTGCCAGGTGCAGCCCTGTCTTCATTCGAAGCTTCTGCATAGCTCAAAAGCTCGGCCTCAGGGCTCCCTCCCCCCTACTCCGAGCTGGGCACCCCATTCCAGGTAGCCCTCCCGGCTGACAGCTGCTGGAGGAGCCAAAGGAGTGTGAGCAGAGGGTGGCGAAACAGCACCATTGCAAAGAAATAAAGCCACCAACCTGAGACAGGACTCCCTTCTTCTTACAGTTGGTTCCCCCAATGAAGACCATGTTGGGTAGGACCGGCCTGGGATACTCCAACACAAAGTCATATCTTAACAGCCAAATAGAAACCTTCCGATACAAGGCAGGCAAGTGCACTTCTCTCTTGAGGATATCTGAGGCCAGTTCTTCGTACTTTGAATACAGACAGTGAAACAGAAAGCTCTCCAAGTAGTTAACGAGGAAGTTGGCCACCCGTTGGAAGAAAGTCATCCGGTCTGAGAACTGGGTGTAGCACCTGGGAATATAGGACACGGGGTTCGGGCTGCGGCTGAACGTGTGCTCCAGGGAACACGGGAAGCCCCTGAACAGGTACACGGAGGGCAGGCCCAGGTACTCGGCCAGGATCACCCCGCAGGGCATGGCTGGGTCTGTGAAAAGGGCGTCGAACTTGCTGTCCCTGAGGAAACGCAAGGTGGCCGAGTCTTTCAAGAGGCTCTGGCAGCCGACAAAGATCATGTGTCTGATGATCTCCATGTTCCTGTACTCCACCAGGCTGGCATTCAGGAGCGACCTCTCAGCAAACTGCTGGTACCCAAAGGCGAGGAGCTTCTGCTGCAGCTCCTCCTGATCGAACGGCACCGCAAAGGTTTTCCTGGTGTAGTGCGTGGACTCCTTCAGGAGCATATTGGTTTCGGGCACCAGCACCACAACGTCATGGCCCCTGTCACCGAGCACCTCCACTATGTTCTTCATGCTGAGCCAGTGGCTTCCATCCTGAGGGACCACCAGCAGCTTGCCACCCAGAACCACACCCCAAAGTGCGAAGAGGAACACCCCTGCAGAAATGCCCAGAACCGCATGCAGGGTGCAGGCCATCCTGACGGCGACTGCGGGCCCAACAAGAATGAAAAATTTATGCGCCCTAAACCACAGGACTTCTGGCTCTGTTCCCTACCCTGCCCCACCCACCTCTCCACACTCTGAATTTTGCAACAACCCAAATTAATATTTAACTGTCTTTAAGCACACAGGTAACTTGAACCAACTGTGCATCTTAGTTTCTGCCTGAGCTTCTGGGTTTCTTCTCTTGGTCTGCACCAAAATGCCTGTCTCTCTGGTTTGAGGAAAACTTGGAGAGGCCCCTGGAGCCCGGAGCAGCCCTCTCTCCTAAGCACCAGGGCACCGCAGCATCAGTGATGGGCATGTTCACAAACGAACATGTGGTGTCAGTGTCCTTCCACTTCCTTAGCAACTTGGCTCACAGTGGCAAGCAAGCATAAACAGAGCCCCAGTTGGCACAGCGGCAGCCGGATTAAAAGGCAGGCAGAGAGGAGTCTGATAGACCTTTCCAGCCCTCCCACCCACCTGGTTGCGCTGCTGTTACTGGGAGTCTCTGTTACATCAAAGACAGAATGGAATCCTAACAGAGCTGCTCTGACACCACAGTTCCCACTAGGCAGTGAAGAACATGCACTCTGGAGCCTCCTGCCCCTTCTGAGCCCTGCGTGGCCCCACCGCCCTTCACCCGCACTGCTGCGCCTGTCGTGCGTGGGGTGGCATCAGGACCTTCCCCCAGGGGCTGTGAGCATGAGCTGAGCACAGGTCCCTGGGAGGGGCTCCCTCTGGGTCTGGCCGCACAGCCAGGTTCTACGTGGCCTGAACGGAGAGGCACTCGGGGGTTGAAAGCACCCCTAAAACATCTCATGGCCCTGCCCTGTGAATGCAAGAACTACAGGAAGGATGAAGGGGATAGAAGAGGAAGTGGAAATGAAGAAGAGAAGAAAATGCAGAAACAGGAAACAATGGGAAGGCGTCCGCGGACAGAGCAGTTGATGGAGGTGACTCGACCAGCCAGCATCGCCCAGGAACGCGGTTCCCCCAGCAGGACCCCAACGACGCGCTTGGCTTCTGAAACAATTTCCTGTCGTCTTCTTTTCCTAGGGCCACTGTAACAAAGGGCCACGCTCTGGGTGGCCTGGAAAACAGGTTGATGCCCGCAGCTCTGGAGGCTGAGATCCAGGTGTCATTTGGGCCCGTTCCTCCTGAGGACTCTGAGGGGAAACCTGTGCCAGGCTTGCTTCTGGCTCCTGGTGTCTCGCTGGTCGTCTTTGGAGGCCCTGGCTTTGCAGAGCATCGCCCTTCCTCTGCCTCCACCATCACATGGTGTCCTCCCTGTGTGCCTGCCTGTGTCCAGATTTCCCCTTCAGATAAAGACACAGGTCCTACTGGACCAGGGCACGCCCTACTGACCTCATTTCCATGAACTAATTGCATCGGCAAAGATCGTATTTCCAAATAGGGTCGTGTTGTGAGGTTCCAGGTGTCAGGACTTCAACATATTTTGGGGGGGAGCACAGCCCAACCCTAACCCTTAGCCATCATCTCAGGCAATACTAACCCCCAGCTGACCACCCTTCTGCAGTTGGGCAACCGAGGCCTGCTGCCCAGGAAAGGACTGTTTTGGCAACCTCACCCAGCTTCGGAAGGAAAAATAAAATTGGCTCTTTCTAGATCAGCGGTCCTCAAACTTCGAGGGCAGGGGTGATTCCTTTCATTCTCGGCTGTGTGCTCAGGGTCCAGAGCAATGCCTGGCACATGGTGGACACTTGGCACAAGTTTGCCAAATGAATGAATGAATGCGCTTTTGATTTGCCTATTGGTTTTATTCTCACATTTCATTTTCTTCTTTGTTCTTTTTTTTTTGATTGTCAGGGTTCACACATCAAATAGAATATTTAAAGACCATGTGCTAGAACTTCCGGTTGAAATGGAGGCGTAGGGAAATGCAGCTTGCCTCTTGGCACAACCACGGCAAAATTACAACTAAAATATAAAACAAACGTCACTCGGAACTGTCAGGAAATCAAGCCGTATGGAAGAATGACAACTAAGGAATTAAAGAAACCACATTCGTCTGGATGGGTAGGAAGGGCAGAGACTTGGAGACATGGAGACGTGGAGACGCTGAGCGAGCTGGTCCCAAACCCACGTGTGGTGGTTATAAAACAGAGGGATATCTTGGGAGCAAGTGATCCCAGCCCCACATCAGACTACCCAGCCCAGGGTTCTAGTGCCCGGAAGGTAAGTCCCCACAACTTCTGGCTGTAAAGATCCGGTGGGGATTGGGAGGGTGGAAGAAACAGCAGCATTCTCAGGCACCATATCTGAGTCACCATCCACCCAGATCACACAGTAGGCCCCGCCCTGACGATCACCTAAGGCCCCACCCAGGCAACGCCCTGATAACAGTGGCTTTTCCACGAGAAGGGTGGAGCTGGGCACAGGCTTCAGACCGTCCTAAATCTGCTCCAACAAGCAACAGCTGAGCCCAGTCCCATACCTCTCACCGAGTGGCCCCAGGCCTGACACAAGGAACGGCCATCTGCAGATCACTTTACAACTTAGTTCGAGGGGCCCCAGACAGAACACAGGTGGAGACTGACCTTGGCTTGCACCACCTTGGGAACCCCAGAGCCTGTGCACCAGGAGACGGTTATAGGCCACATTGGAGCACCACCCAACCACCTCCATAAGCCACGGAAGAAGGTGGGTGCTGGCCAGGGGCCACGGCCATTCCCACCAGCTGTCCGGCCTGGGTAAATCCCTTCGATTGACCTGCTGACAACAATCAAAACTCATCTACAAGAGGACGTACTCCGCCCACACAGAGGGCACACCTTGAGTACCTAGTCTGGAAGACAGAGGAGGCTGTGCCACTGGACCCTGCAGGACACCTACTCCATTAGGCCACTCTACCAAGGCAGGGATTCCTAGCAGCTCTACCTAGTACAGGGAAACAAACACAGGGAGGCTGCCAACACGAGGAGACAACACGGCCCAAATGAAAGAACAGATCAAAACTCCAGAAAGAGAGCTAAACAAAATGGAGATAAACAACCTATCAGATGCAGAGTTCAAAACACTGGTTATTAAGATGCTCAAGGAACTCACTGGGCACTTCAACAGTATAAAAAATGCCCAGGCAGAAATGAAGGATATATTAACTGAAATAAAGAACAATTTACAGGGAATCAACAGGGGAGTGTATGAAGCCAAGAATCAAATCAATGATTTGGAACATAAAGAAGAAAAAGACATCTAATCACTACAGCAAGAAGAAAAAGAATCCAAAAAAATCAAGAATAGTGTGAGGAGCCTCTAGGACAACTTCAAATGTTCCAACATTTGTATCATAGGGGTGCCAGAAGGAGAAAAGAGAGAGCAAGAAGTTGGAAACCTATTTGAAAAAATAATGTAAGAAAACTTCCCTAATTTGGTGAAGGGAATAGACATGCAAGTCCAAGAAGCACAGAAAGTCTCAAACAATACAGACACAAAGAGGGCCACACCAAGGCACATTGTGATTGAAATGCCAAAGGTTAAAGGTAAAGAGAATCTTAAAAGCAGCAAGAAAGAAGTAATTAGTTACCTACAGGGGAGTTCCCCTAAGACTGTCAGATGATTTCTTAAAAGAAACTTGGCAGGCTAGAAGGGATTGGCAAAAAGTATTCAAAGTGATAAAAAATAAGGACCTACAGCCTAGGTTACTGTATCCAGCAAAGCTGTTATTTAGAATCGAAGGACAGATGAAGTGCTTCCCAGACAAAGTAAAGCTAAAGGAGTTCATCCTCACCAAGCCCTTATGATAGGAAATGTTAAAGGGACTCATTTGAGAAAAAGAAGAGGACCAAAACTATGAACATTAAAAAGACAATAATAAATAACTATCGACAATTGAATCTAAAAAACAAACTACGCGAATAAGCAAAACAGAAACTGAATCATAGATATGGAGGCTATTGGGGTGGGGGCCAGTGGGAATGGAAGTCTGGGGGGAAAAAGGGGGAAGGAGAAGGTATGAGGAGGTACGAATTGGCAGGTATAGAATAGGCAGGAGGGTGTTAAGAGCAAGCATAGGCAATGGAGTAGACAAAGAATTTATGTGCATGACCCATGGACATGAACTAAGGAGGGGGACTCACTGGAGGGAGTGGGGGGATGCTGGGTGGAGGTGAGGAAAGGAGGAAAAATTGGGACAACTGTAATTGCATTATCAATATAAATAAATACATAAATATTAAACAGCAAAAAAATAAAAAAAATAAAGAACTGTTGAGATCTGGGAAATTGAGAACATAGCCTGACCACAGCAAAACAGGAACAAGGAACAGCATGCAAACAAAGGCTGAGCAGACAGCCTGCAGCACGTGAGTGCCCTACTTAGAGCAAGATAGGCAGATTGTAATCTGTTTAGTTTTGAATTTCGAAACTACATCCCGTTCCCATGCGCGGTCTCTGTCAGCAAATAGCTAACTGCCACGTCTGCTTCTGTTCAACGCTTGCTTGCTCATCCCTATATAAGGGCTTAGCTGTAAGCGCTCGGCGCGTCTCTCATCTGCAGCCCTTTTGGGCACCGTGTCTCCGGACACCCCGAGAGTTCGACCCCTGCGCAGGTTAAGCTTGGCCAATAAAATAAGATCAAAACCCTGAAAGGTCTTCGAAAATTATTCTCGCGTCCGGTGGATATAACAGAACCATGTGTTCTTTTTTGAGAGAAGCCAGTCAGTGCCACTGTGAGCATGGAATCTTTCCCTTGTCCTTCAGAAACAGGAGCTGAGAAGTACCAGCCCAAACAGCAGTCAGGGAGAGCCTGAAGTGGGAGTCCGAAGGCCAGGTGTCTGCTTCTGGCCCTGCCACCCAGCCAGGGGCTTGCCCCAGCTCCCAGTCTGCAGGCGTCTCAAACGAAACCCAGGGAGAGAGGGTCACGTCAATCCTGCTGCATCTACCACATTGCTGAGGGAGGTTCAAAAGGGCAAGGGATGTGGGAACCAGGCTGTCCAAGTGCAAGGCAGGTCCCAGCGCGGCTAGAACAGACTTGCCCACTGCTAGTCACGCACAGTGAACTGGCACACAGAGTCCTGTCCTGAC